GTTACGCATAATTCTATTCTTGTTTCTGCGGAATCAGCAAATCAAAAACTGATGACGGGGGATCCAACTGTAGATGACTAAAGACAATATGTCTGTTTTTTGCTGTCTAAATCCAATGTAACTGAAGATACCCAACTTACTGAAAAGCTATTACATTTTTCAAACCGTAGCTCATTAGTTATAGAAAAGATTATCTAATCAATAATTGCTATTGAGGTTTAAATGTAATTTCCTGTGTGAAAACGAACTGCAGGCATTTGCAGATGAGCTTGGTATCCCTTTCCTCGAGACAAGTGCTAAAGACTCTATCAATGTGGAGCAGGCTTTCTTAACCATGGCTGGCGAGATTAAGAAAAAGTAAAAGTCACTTGTCTACTGTTTCCTTTCGATCATCATTCACTCACTTGTGATTGCATAGCATTACTAGGGGTCATCATTCATTGGTTAAAAGACTAGAAGTGTCTCTGGTGTTTTGTGAAGAAAGAATTAATAAGAATTCCGGTCATGCATTTATCTTCTAATTTATCTGCTTTTTTTTCCCCCTTTTTTAATAAATATTTTCTGCAGAATGGGTAGTCAACCAAGTGCTTCCAAGGCAAGTGGAAGTGTTCAGATGAAGGGGGAGCCAATTCAGCAAAAGAGCAACTGCTGTGGTTAGCCATTGATATTCGCTATATCAATGTGTCCTGTTAAAAAAAAATGTAAAACAGTGAACTATGTTGACTGTGATGTTTATGGATCTTTAAAGAACTGTTGAAGTGATAAATATTGCCTGCTTGGATAGTCACTGGTCTCTGCGCAAAATGAAAGTTTTTAGCAAGGAATTTAAAATCTCGGTGATAAAGTAGAGAGGAGTGAAAACAAGTGTTTGAAACTCACAGTTGCTTAAAGGCATCGTAACAGTTTGGTCATAACAGAAAATGGATAGTTGTGAAGCACACTTTGGGCGCGTATAGAATTTACTTTTAAATTCTTTCTTTTTACTTGTAGCACTGAAACTAAAAATAAATTCGACAATACATATAGTTTTGAATATTTAATGGAAAAATCAATTTAACATTGTGCAAAATAAAAAGAAGTCCTACATATTTTCCCTAATAACAAAAA